CTATCTATCTATCTATCTATCTATCTATCTATCTATCTATCTATCTATCTATCTAAGTATGACTAACAGGCCCCCTCTTGTCAATTCTGAAGGTTTTGTCTAAGGCTGTCAGCTGGCCTGCTTACATGTTTTATTGGCACGCTAACAAAATGTGAAAAAGTCCATGCGAGTATGTATCTTGGCAGACATTCGCCTGTCAGTTCTTTTCAATATTATCAAAATTAAATCAACCATTCACAAACGATACTTTCAACTTTCTTAATGAAAAGTGAGTTATCATCAGGTCGTGGTTATTTCTAGAAAGGAATGATGTCATCGCTGAAAGCAGTCTCTGGAACCAAGTGCATCAGTCAATAATTTATCCTAAAGCACTTTGCTCTTGCTGGCTCTCTCCCTCTATTTCATTCATCCCAACCCATTTCGTCTCCCTCTTTCTTGTGTGTTTGTCTTCATCGCTCTGCGTCTAAAATGCCTCCATCCTCCCCGTTTCCCTCCCTGATGTTCTCTCTCCTCGCCCTTATTCCCAGACCTTCATGTGGAAGGGTTGTTTCGGGTTCCAGGCCACAGCTTGAGGCAAGCAGCATTAAGAGAGATGCTGAATAACGGAGCTGAGATAGATCTGGAGACGGGGGACTTCCATCCCAATGATGCTGCTACTTTGCTCAAGGTGTACCTTGGAGAGTTGCCAGAGCCTCTGCTCACACATAGACATTATCATGCTCACCTGAAGATTGGAGGTATTTGTTGAATTATATGCAGGTTAGATTTATGGCCCAAGTTTGCTGTTTTCTAATCCTTTATTTGTCTGTTGTGTTCAGATTTGACTCGTTTTGACGAGAACGGGAATAAAACTGATGTCCCCAATAAGGAACGGCAGATTGAAGCATATCAGCTGCTTTTTATGTTGCTCCCACCGACCAACCGCAGCTTGTTGAAGCTGCTGCTAGACTTACTGTACCACACGGCCCGCACTCAGCACTTGAACAAGATGTCTGCTATTAACTTGGCCACGATGTTCGCTCCACATATCATCTGGCCCAAAAATGTAATGATCTTAAATATTTAAAGTATTTTAGATAAACTTCTGGAAATTTCTTTTGAATAAATATACACTTTTAAAAATATATATTTTCATGCTGTAGGTGACTGCAAGTGATCTCCAGGGAAGCATAGAGAAACTGAATAATGGGGTAGCATTTCTCATCCGGCACTCACAAAAATTGTTCAAGGTAAACCACTTTATTCCCAGCTTTTATGTAAAGATGTTTTAGGAGTCTGACTTCTGACTGCTGATGCAAAACACAGTGTTGAATTTCAGCTCAAGCAAGATGGCCTTGTGGAAGAGTCTGGGCTCTCTGATTGCTTTTTTAACTGTATGTAGTTTTGTTTTGCCTTTCTTTTCCTTAGCAACTAGACTATGAGAGTAGGGATGTTGCCCGGGTTACAAGAAATAGAGAGATTAAAGGATATGACAAGAGAATTTGGTCACAATAGAACAAATCTATGAAGGTTCTTTAAGACACCAGTCAGACAGCATGTCTATTATAACATGCTTAGACTTTACACTTTGGATCATTTTCAACAGGTCAGGAGTACTTTGAGAGAGAGGAAGTGTTTCTGGTTTTATGGTTGATAGCCTTTTAATCAAACCGCTGTATGTACAGCACACTTACCTTTTATTTTTGTAAAACTTTTACACATTTTAGCCTTGTTTACTGCATGAAGAATAACACATTCACAACCTAGTCAGGTTATTTACTCTGAAAAAGCACTTAAGACATTCATTTAGGACCATCATCCTGCTCTGTAATGAAACATCCCCACTGATTTTTGATGCACGTAACTAAATGTCAGCTTTTCCTGTTGTTTCACTCAGTGGTGAAGTCATTCAAATTCTGAGCAGCAGCTATGTTATTATGTCCATGTAGTGGATTTGTCTGTCTGTCAAACAGAAATCCAAGGAAATGCCAAAATGTAGATTTCATCTACATATTGCTTTGTAATAAGAGCAGCCGTAGTGACAATATGGCTCGTTTGTATTCTGATCACATCTCAACAATGATTTGAAATTAATTTGTCGGATAATAAGAAGCTTTAACTTTATTTGTGCAAAGATTGATTCCCCTAAAATACATTTTGTACTATTATAACTATTAAATCTATTCTGCTGACTGCTATTTTTTTCACTGTTGTGGTTAGTAGTGTATTATATTTCTAATTACACTAATCAATTTAGTTTTCATCAGATTTTAATGCACATGTTTGCATCCCTTGAAGGCACCTCTCTATATCAACAAATATGCTCGATTATACTACACTGGATCCAAAAGTCTGCAGTCAAATGTAAGTAAGTTTGTTTTGTTTTTTTTGTTTTTTTTGTCTTATGAGAGAAGGTTTTAACTTTGCTCTGGGTCTGTTCCTCAACTTTTAGTCTTCATTCTCCCTGACTGTCATCTGTGAGTTTTTCTTCTCTGTTTTCAAATCGAAGCCATTCTAGTCGATGGGGTTATTCCCACTGTCCTCAGCATGGTAGAGGGCTCTTCTTTGTCATCTGTCAAAAAACAAACAAAAAAAGAAACAGATGAGAAAGACAGGAAGTCATACATGGAGAGGATAAAATGTATGCAGTACATTTTATAATAAGAGGAGCTCTTTTATACGTACATGAACGGATTCCAAACACATCGAGTGTGGATTGCGGCAGTGCACATTTTTTAGTGTAACAGAAAACAAAGTCTGAACAGTGTGAAGACAGTTTTAGCCCATTTTCATCTGGATTAACTTTTAATTCCACCCCACTTTAACAAACCACTGGATTTTTTTATTATTTTTTTGTTCAGGTAAATTTTCATGATCTATTATTTATTTAAATATCTTTTTCTTGAGACTAGACATATGTTGTTTTGAAGGTCTGTCTGTAGATTACATTCAGTAAAAATAAAATGGATCTCTATATTACAGTATTAACAAAAGACAGCCCATGTCTTTGGCCTCCCTTGAAACCATTAACCTGTGGTAATGACATTGCTTTAAAGAACTTAAATTGGTTTTCAAGTCAAAATACGCTGCTTAAGTTACAGACTTTGACTACAGTTTTTTCTTTTCAGTGTACGGTAATATATTTCAGTGTGTATATATATATATATATATATATATATATATATATATATATATATATATATATAGTTTGGCCAACATGTCTATGCTTTCTTGAGATTTTGTGTTTCAGGCTATTTCCAATTATCTGTGTTCCCCCAATAAAACCAAAAAAACTCAATCTGACATAATTCTTATAGATTTATTAGGATCCTAAAATTACTTTTTTTTTTTATAGCAGACTATGGGTAGGCTATAGAGAACTGCTGTTAATTGTCTGGAGGTAAAAAAGTATCTAAATGGTAATGTCTGTATCTCATTGCTGGAAACAACCTAAACCAGAAAATGATGAAGGGGCAGAGTCATCAGTATCTCTTAGGGCTATATGACTGTAATTTGTTAAGCCTTTTCCAAGATGAAATTGAATTTGGAAACGTAGATATTTGTTTTATATTTTGTACAGTTCTTTAACTACTTTCTGCTGTTGGGTATGAAAAAGATGTCTGTGCTAAGACCTTTTAAAATAATAGGGTTACATATTCCTGCTTGACAAAGTTTGTTTGTGCAACAATCATCAGGATAGATCTTTTCTTTTCTAGGATGACCTGAATCTCGCTTCAGGAAGCAAAACTGGCTCCACCACTGTGATTGCAGCTTCGTCCCCTTCCCCCTCTGTGAGATCAATCACAGGTGAGATGAGCAGAACCAGCACCATCCACCCTTGTGAAAATCAGAGCTATACTGAGTCTTGCCTCAAAGAACTGTACAAGGAGGTCAACAGTATGCCAGAGTCTGCCAAGAAGAAAAAACTCATCAGACAGGTAACTTAGTGAGACTATTCAAATACAAAGGTCATGAAATGGATCACTATTATCAGTTTTTAATAAGGTGTAATCTCCTTTGTAGTTGGAAAAGCAGCCTGACCCGACTTCTTCTGCAGAGACCCGGACACCGTTTATCAGGAGACACTGGCGTTCTCGCTCTGCAGGTGGATTAATCAAGGTAAGCTCATAAGATTTCTAACATATAATTATCTCTAATGCTTCCAGCAGATATTTTGATCCATGATTCATTTTCATATTAAGGATTTGTAAATCTTTAACGTTCTTTACATAGCTCAGACTTGTTATTTTCCACACTAACCTTCTGCCATAATTTTTTTCTTTTCTATGAATTATCATTTCACTTATATAACAGAGAAAGGGATTGGGGGCCAAAGTCTCAATGGACAAAGACAGCAGCAAAGTGAAGAGTGTTCCTCCGAGCTCCTGAAGTGATGGGTAGATTAATAGAAACAACTCAAAAGCAGAATGTAAGTAAAGCAATATTCAACCTTAGAATAAATCCTTGAACTATCACCCTAGAAACTGACTCGGTCAGGATGTCCTGTGAACACAGCAGCTAAAACCTTTATCCAAAACAGATTTATGACAAATTTAGGTGAAACAGGTGATACAATGTTAATCAAGGCAATGGAGGGAATATCCATGTAGAGGGCCTTGCAAAACAATTGATATCCTTTCAACTTTTTCAGATTTTGCTGTATTACAGCCTTAAGCCTAGATGCATCTTTTGTGTTTCATAAAAAAGACAAAGTGGTTAGAAGTTGGCAAGTACTATGAAAAGAATTACCTGTTTTGTTGTTGTTGGTTTAAAAAAAAAAAAATCACAAATAAAAGCAAGTCTTGGCATGGATCGCTATTTTTGGGCCATTCTTATACATTAATTAGTTAATGTGTCATTATCATGTCCCAAATCTCCCCTGTGACAAGGCTTTAGGGGTGGATGAGGCGATGCTGAGTATCTTGGGTCTGGATGTTGTTGTCTGGTTGACCCACTTCTTCAGCATTGCATGGCAGTCAGGAATGGTGCCCCTGGATTGGCAGAGCAGATTGGCAGACCAGAGTGGTGGCTCTCCCCACAAGAAGGGGTACTGGAGCGTGCTTGAAATGAAAGTCTTGGTGATTGTCGAACCTCCATCTTAGGAAGAGCAGTGTGTTTTTCGTCTTGCCTGTGGAACACTGTACAACCTCTAAATCCCTTAACGGCAGGGCTTCTCAAAAGGGGGATATAGAGGATGACGGGCAGCATTGGGATCAATATTTTCAAATGGTGGGCGGTAGTGTTGGTTTGCACGGCCTTAACTTTATTATAAAGTTTCCACCAAAAAATTACACAACAATAATCCAATTTTATTGCGTTTATTTATATATCTCCAATTCACAACACGGCATCTCAAGGCACTTTACAGTTCACCAGATCATACATTCAAATTTATTCACAGTTTTCTACCTAAGGAAAACCGGTTGATTGCATCGAATCATTGACTCAAAGGCAATTCCTCACACCATACATGCTTGTTGCGACAATGGAGAGGAAAAACTCGATTTTAACAGGATGAAACCTCCAGCAGAACCAGGCTCGGTGTGAGCGGCCATCTGGCGAGGGTCGACTGAGGTTCAAGGAGACAGAAGCAGAGATACAAAAAGCAACTGTAAAAGGCAGCCCCACCCAGGAAACACACAGCCAGGCAGACAAGCTCCAAGCCAGCTCCAATGTCAGAGGATGAAGAGAGCACATCCAGCTAGTCATAGTCAGAGAAACTGGAGTACACGGAAATACAGGCTGATCTCCAACATCTATAAACAAAGGTGTTGATGGCAGCAACACAGCTGATATTTCTCTCCAGGATGGTGTCACAGCCAAACAGGAACAGATGAGATAAAACTACTATGAGGAAAAGCAGAGAGAGCATTAAGTTAGAGATTGAACTAACCGATTCTACAGAGTGGAAGAATAGATATAAAATGAAGTAGAATGATGAAATGGGGGTCCCTATGTCCTCCAGAAGTATAAGCCTATAGCAGCATAACTGCAGAGACAGCTCAGGATAACCTGAACCACTCTAACTATAAGCTTTATCAAAAAAGAAAGTTTTAAGCCTTGCCTTAAGGTGGACAGGGTGTTTGCCTCATGGACTAAAACTGGTAGCTGGTTCCATAAGAGAGGAGCCTGATAACTAAAATATCTGCTTCCTATTCTATTTTTAGAAATTCTAGGAACCACTAGTATAACTGCAGATTGAGAGCGAAGTGCTCTGTTAGGAACTGAGGAACAATCAGATCTCTGATATAAGATGGAGCTTGGCCATTTAAGGCTTTATATGTGAGAATGAGGATTTGAAATTCTATTCCGGATTTAACAGTAAGCCAATGAAGAGAAGCCAGGATAGGAGAGATAAGATCTCTCTTTTTAATTTTCATCAGAACTATGGCTGCAGCATTTTGGATCAGCTGAAGACTTTTAACTACAGTTTGTGGATTTCCTTATAGTAGAGAATTACAATAATCCAGCCTTGAAGTAACAAATGCATGGACTAGTTTCTCAGCATCACCCCTGGACAGGATATTTCTAATTTTTGCATTATTGGGCAGATGAAAGAAGGAAATTATAGAAACTACTTTGAAATGGGATTTAAATGATAGTTCCTGATCAAACATATTACCAAGGTTTTTTACTTTATTCTCTGAAATCAGTTTAATCCCATCCAAATAAAGTGACCGACTAATCAGCTTCTTTTTCAAAGACTCTGGTCCAAAGACTATAAATTCTGTTTTGTCTGCATTCAGGAGTAAAAAGAGTCATCCAAGATGATGATTAACTTAAACTTATACACATTTAAACTTTCAGGCCCTCAAATCCCCATCTGGTTCGTTCAGAAAAGTGGAGAGTATCTCATCTAGGTACCTAATGCCAGTCATGCTACCTCTGGTAAGCACATGGAGGGCTGTGCAGCACTGCACACCATTGCAGACCCGTTTCCAAACTGGTCATGCTGAAGGTTGTGCAGGTAGATGATCACTCTCCACAATGTCTCCAGACTCTGTTACATGCGCTCAGTATGAACCTTCTTCTATCTGTGAAGAGCAAAGGGCGCCAGTGGCAAATTTGCCAATCCTGGTGTTCTTTGGCAAAAGCCAGGCATCCTGCACATCTCCTGTGTACTGGCGTGTCTCCTGGTAGTACCTCCAGCCTCTGGACACTACGCTGACGGACACAGCAAACCTTGACACATCTCATATTCATATGCCATCCGGGATGAACTGCATTACCTGAGCCCATTGTGTGGGTTGTAGAGTCCGTCTCATGCACCACAACTGTGAAAGTACCACCAACATTCAAAAATGACTAAAACTTCAACCAGAAAGCATAGGTACTGAAGTGTTCTGTTGTCCCGACCTGCAGAACCACCCCTTTATTGAATGTGTCTAATTGCCAATAATTTCCACCTGTTGTCTGTTCTATTTAGACACCAGCACGTGAAATCGATTGCCAATCAGTGTTGCTTCATATGTGGAAAGTTGTTTCACAAGTTTGTCTATGTGCTGCCCATGTGTTCCATTTATTTTTTGAGCAGCATCCATCAGAGTTAAGGCCACTGAAAGTACAAGGCTGTTTGAATAGGGGTTTGATTTCAGGGTACCTAAATTTATAAGGTAGGCCTCATAAGGGCATCTGGACCACAACTTTGCCTCTTGGACCTCACCCACGGTCATTTGTGCCCAATATGCTCCTGTATGCACAGAAGTATCCACAGAACAGGGACATTGACCGGTCAAATGGTTTGATCTTCTCATGGTGCGTTCAGACTGGGTTCAGTGTCTACAGTTGATTCACCTAAAATTCCTAAACAAACACGGGAAACGGCCAGCGGTGAATCCATGTGGTGAGGTCCTACACTGCTCCGCTCTAACCTCGTAAAACTAAATAGAACTGAGGTGTTGTCAGGGACTGGTTGTGGGTGAAGGTTTTTTTCACTTAATATGGAATAAAAAGATGAATAATGTTAAAAAAGGTAGAAATAAGGATGCTCTCAATAGGTTTTTTAGGTGGCTTTAAAAAAGTTGTTTTAATGTAGCCCTGGAGGGACCTGTCCTCATCCTCCCTTACCTCCAGCACTGACACCGTTCTGTCACTGCCAGCTGGCAAGCATTGGTGCTTACTACATGGGTAGATTAACAAGGAAGTACTGCTGAATCCCACCATAATCCAGACGCAGCTCTGGATGAAATAAAGTGGACTTTTTCTTTTTTTTTTTTTCCAGAGCTTTTGGGGCTTTTCCAAAAATAGATGATCTCCCCATGGAGATTCAAAAGTTGTTCATAGAGAAAAATTTAGCAGCAGTCCCTGGTATTAAGTTTATCCTGTGCTTTTATTCTGAAATGTCAACAGTGAGACCTTGACAGGGAATGCTATATTGAGTTACATGGGGTTACAGACAGGTCAGGTCCAATATAGAATGATTAAACAATCATTCCAGCTGATGCAGACTCCTGCCAGAGGTCTCTTAAATCTTAAGACATGTTTTTTATTAAAAACTCTCTCTGATTTTAATTCCTTCTCACTTATATCCCTGACCTGCCTGATGTGTTCCTTGGATTTTTATTTGTTCTCCAAGGTTCTCTTTATCATTACATTAATGTTGTGATCAAATAAAACCCAAGTTTATATTGTTTTTCTAAATGGTCATTTTTTTAATAAGAGGGTTGGCTGAATTTGACTTTAGTGGTAAACAAGCTTAATATACCTGTGATACTCTTCAGACTTTTGTTTGGAGAACATTTGAAAAACCCTTAACCCAGTAAGTGAGTACTTTTCTAATACTTGTAAAATGAATGAAGAAAGATATTACATGAGTTTACATGTGGTGAAATTAATTGAGTCACAGTTCTGTAAAGTTGAACTACAACATTCGAAATCAATACAAACATTTTTATTAAAGCATTTGTCATCTTTTGTTTGCTCATCAGTAGGTGGCAAGGCTGGATCATTGTGTCATTGTTTACCAATGTAGTAACTGTGACTGTCTAATGGCAGGCCTTTGTTGCTTACAAGTGTAATTTTAAAAATAAAATAAACTAATCTATTTTCTCTCTCTTTCAGGGTAAATCACTATTTAAGGATTGTACTTCTCAAAGCCTCTGAAACATCAATCCGATCATCTTTAGTCTTAAAGAAGCTATGCCAATTATTTGCTGTAAAGTTTACAAGAGCAGTTGTTACCTGTTGTATTTTTTTTTTTTTAGCATTTTGTGTTTCATTTCCTAAGGTGTGAAACTTGTTGGTTTAAAAATGTCCCAAAGAATATATGAAACTAAATTCTAACAACAGTTACTAAACAGCAACATACTTACAGTAAATTTCAGGCCAGTGGTTTTCTTTTAGCAATATTCCGTATGATATTAATGGATTTTGGTTTTAGAATTTATATTTTTTCTAATGCTATGTTACATTTGTTTTCTGCCTCAGATGTCTTAAAGAAAATGTGATTTTCTGTTTGTTTTGTTGGTTCTGTAGGAAAGTTGCCTACAGAAAAATGTGCCTTAAACTAGACATTTTCTGAAATGTTGAGTTGAGTTTCTCTTCTAGTTTTCCTGTCAAATATGACAAAAAATAGGAAAGACTTTATTTGATATAAATGATTCTGTTATTAGTACAGGGAGATTAAAAGAAATGCAAAAAGATTCTTTTTTTTCCTCCTGAAAAAAAAAATGTATTAACACAGATTTCTTATACTACTGATACTTTAAGCTGTTTCGTAGCCTATTCTTTATTTATGTGCAAAATGTAGCACAGTTTAAGATCCCGAAATAGTGTGTTTGCTTTTTTGGCCAAAGTTTTTATTATGTCTCATTTTAAAATGTTTTTATTATATACTAGATTTAGTAAATGGATGATGCTGTTGCTTCTCCAGAGCTATGCAACTTACTGTAACACTTTAAAACTTTTTTCTTAAGCTTATTTCTTTTTTTTTTTTTTAGAGATAATTTTGTGAATATCTGGTGTGTGATTAAGCAAGAATGTTTTTTTTTTTAAACTGTCTTTGTCACTTTTGTTCTGTACTTTACTTTGCAACCACAAGGTGATGCAGTTTAGTCGCAAATGGTTGTGAGCTAAGGAGCCCTCTACTCAACATGTTGCATTTGGACATGATCCAAGATGCCTTTCTTCTTTATTGTTACCTTTTTTTGAGCTCATATTCTGTAATATAAACAGTCAGCTGATAGTTAAATTTATAAAGGGCATAAATTTAATGTTGAACACTGCAAAATGACCAGTGGTAGCAAAGACAAATTCCTTAGGGAAAGAAGTGAATATTTTTTGGATAATGTTTTTTGTGTGCTTGTGTATGTGTTGGGGGGTGAGTATATATCACAGAAACATATGTGAATTTTTTTCTTTGTATTTCTAAGTTCTTTACAAAAGCGAATTGGTTTCAGTGAAGCAATGTATGGTTTTTCAAGGAGGGCTTTTTACTCCCTTTGGTATTCCACAAAAATAGACTGTGAACTGAGTCCAGTAGACTGTAATTTTATAATTTCTGTGGTTTGTTTTGGTCCTTTTCCCTGAATTTGCCAAATCTGTCCCTTATATAAAATGTAATGTAATGGATGTTGATGGAAGATAAACAGTTTGTGAAACCCTGGAAATGTGAACTTTGCCTTCTGTTTATCATTTTACTTAAAGCCCAATGAGGAAGAGAGAAACAAGTCTCTCAGGTATGAAACACCAGCTCTCTGTCCTGCTGAACGGTTCTCATTTTGTAGATATAAATTGTGTAAAAAAGTGGCTTAACTTCTCTTGCTTATTTGAATTTCTGAATCACAAGAATGTAAATCAGTTGTAACTCGTCCTCTTGGCCCCCTTTGTTTGAGGTCTTGTGTTTTGCAAACATCTCCTCTGCCAGACAGTTGTAATTGCTGCCATGTTGTCCCACTGCTTTAGGAGCTGAGGAGTCATTCTTATATACTTGTGTGCATTCCTATCAACTGTGTGAGAGCAGAGGGATGTTACTACCCCCCCATTACCACTAAACACCACTGTCGCCTCTTTAATTAGCTATTCATAAAGGGAAGATCTATACCCAAGTGACATTTTTACAAGGACAAATGAAACTTTTTTTCCTGTATTATGTGATTTTTCTTTTCTTTTATAAATATGCATGCTGTTGGTCAAATTTAGTAAAGAAGAATTGACTTTCTTCTGAATTTTTCTCTCATCTTTACACTTCTTTTGAAATAAAAAGATCCATATAAAATATCTGAAATGCAGCCAGAAGCCAACAGTCTTAAGCTTAACCCAACTGAAGATGGTTGGAGTGCCGTGCGGGCAATTTGCCAAACTGTACATGCATAATTGAATTACATTAGACATCCTACATAAACAGACCTTCTTGATTAAAACTAAATTGCATGCTAAATGGCACTAAACAGCTTACATGGTTGTCATTCCATTGTGGCGTGATGCTTTGCATGCAAACTCCCTTTCAAGTCCTGATCAGAGGTTGTTTTGCCCTGAAAAATTCTCACAATATGTTCTCTGTTTAATGTGTTACAGTTTGTTTTTACCATTTATTTTACTTGTGCAGAATCATGAACCAAATGCCCTGAATTTTTGAAATCCTGAAGTACTGATTTGTAGTTTCCTGAAGTGCAAATTTAAGTGTGGAAAAAATTTCTTTTTCTCCCCCCCGACAGGTATAGCTACACTTTAACCCTAATATACATGCTCCTTTCACTAAATGTATTTTGCAGAAATCGGGAGCTCACACAATCCTTCAAATGCATAGTTTTCCTCAGCAGAACTCTGTCCAGCTCTCTTGGTTTTTGAGTCCACTTTTGGGAATCTAAGATTCTTTCTCTGTAAGAGGTTGTGTTCCAGTTGGAATAACACATCAAGACAACAGCAGATATGAATTTAGTGGAGCTGGTTGACTTTTTTTTTTAATGTGAATGTGCTAAGCTATTCTGCCTGACTGCGAAGTATTATAAATTTGTTAATTTTTTTTTATAGCTTTGTGAGATTCTTTATTTCTGAGATTCTGTGGCAGTCTCTGAATCTGCTGCTGCCCAAGGAATGACCTAAAAGTATTCATACCTACCCTTTTCCACAGGTCATAGTTGGATTGGCAGGCAGGAGTCTGTGAACATCAGCTTATAATTTTTGACTGTTTTTATCTCAGTATTTAGGTCTGGATTTTGATTTCACCATTACAACAAATGAACATGCTTTTGGATCTTCAAATTTGGTCTTTGAGAGAGGCACCATCCTGAAACTTTTAGGTGCCTCAATGCTCCAAAGAGCCTAAATCAAATGACCAAATTACTTTCTCAGCATTTCATCATATTCTGCAGAGGGCTATTAATGAACCATTTATCTGATTCAGTTGTGTAAGAAGAGGGATCTTAAAAGTGGCAGGACTGGAGTTGGAGACCACTGATCTAAACCACCACATTGTAGTCTTGTGCCTTTTGCAGCAGTCCTTCGGGTTGTCATGTATTTTACACATCATCTCATTATCTCCAGCCAGCTTCTCTGTTCCATGCTGTTCTCCACCTCTAGCCTCTATGTTCCTAGTTCTTCATGATGCTTTTTGTTCATCAGGGTTATCTGACAAATTATTTATTGACTGGTGGACTCTATTTAATCCCTTTCACTGAATTTTAATTAGGGTTATTAGGGCAAATGCAGGGAGCACCTCTCCAATATTTAAAAGTCAGAAAAACAAAGGATAAACAAGTCTGTGTTTATGATGAAACAAAATATGCAGAAGTACTGTACAATTGATTACTTTTCCAAGATATCGTACTTGATAATGTTTTCAGTCTTATTTCCCCTCGCTGGACTAGGGTGTAAATTCTTCTCATCCCCTGTGGATTCTCACACGTGGCCTCTCCCTCCGGGCAGAAGCTCTGTAGTGTCATGCAGGTTAGTCTGTCTCTCTCCCTCTCTGTGGGGTTCGCCTGGAGGCAAACCTCAGTGAAAAGAATGAGTTGGATAAGTGTGCGAGAAGCGGCTGAAAAGAGGAAGATATTGGGAGTAGATTTGATTGTGAGGAGAGTCAAAGGAATGAAAGGGGGATCTTAGGAATGAGTGTGAGTTCAGGCAGGGTTGTGTTGGAGGGGGTGTTGTATGGGGAGGGAGAGGAGTGAGGGTGAACAGGAGGGGTAGGGGTGGAGTCGGGGGGATCTGCTATTTGTAGATCCTTGTGATGGATGACTGGTGTGTGTGTGTGTAAAGGGGAGAGAGAGACTGGCTTTTTTGCTTTCTGCTCTTTCCCTATTCCCTCTCTCTTCAGACAAGCAGAGCAGAGCAGGACTGAGTGAGAGGAGGACAGACGTTTGCAGACCAGAGCACACCAACTCCACAAAGACGAGACAGGAGTGGAGTTTTCAAGAAGGAGAGAAGAAAGAGAACATCTTATTTTTTACATGGAAAAACTGTAGTGCATATCAAGGCTACATCACTAGAACTATAGGATTTGTGTGGAAGATCTCATTTTTTTCTACTTTCCAGGTAGATAAAATTATTCTAGCAGACTTGTGAGGTGTTGCAGGACTTGAGGAAGGCAAAAAGAAGGAGGAAAATAAATAAAGGACAAAATCAAGTAAGAAAAAAAAGGAACAAGAGGCTATGAGAATGCTGGCTGTAGGTAGCAGTTTTGGATCAAGCATGGGTGGGCTGGCTGGGCACTGGATGTGGCTGCTGATGCTCTCTGCCCTGATGTTGGGCAATGCAATCGCCTGCCCAGCGCTTTGTACCTGCAGCGGCACCACAGTGGACTGCCATGGACTGGGTCTCAAAACTATGCCAAGGAGTATCCCCCGCAACACTGAGAGACTGTGAGTGCCATCTCTTCTTCCTCACCTTCTTATCTGTGTATCCATGACAGAGAAACCACCAGTCTGAGTATTATCTTCCCATTGTTTCAGCTAAGGCTGTGTTATTGTAGTGCACATGGGTTCCTTTAGATGGAAACAGAACAATAGCCCTGCCTGTGTAAGCTGTGCGTGAGTGAATGTGTGAATGTGCCAATCAGGCAGCCAGTCACTCACTGGCATTCCAGTCAGGTATAAATAGACATCAGGGACTGGAATAAGCAGGAGCAAAAGTGTTCATTTCTTTTGTATTCATTTAATTTCTTTTGTGCATGTGTCGATCATTTATTCATTTATTTGTTTGTTTAAACTTTTTTCATCTAGTTTTTCCTTTTTGCATTTCTATTCAGAAATTCAGCTTAGTTTTTGCTCCTCTTCTTAGCTGCTTCAGTGTCAAGTTTAACGACTGAAGTTCCCTGAAATGTTCTGTGATATTTAAAGAAATGTCTCACCAGTCCTGTTGGCTTTGCTCCTTTGGTCTTTATCTACCTTTTCTCCTTTCACTTTTATCATGTCTTCTACTCCTGCCTCTTCCCCTGTCATGCATCTGAACACTTTCTCCCTAAATCGTTAAATCGTGCAGAAAATTAAGCAAATCTGCTGCTTAAGTGAGTCCTGCGAGAGGATCACCTAAAGCTGTCTTGTAAAGACGTCAGTCAGACGCCGGCCCCGCAGAGGGGTGTTTCTCCATCTTCTCTGACATGCCTCTGAAATATTCATCTGTGAAATCAAAGGTAGCACAAGTGAGGGGAAATAAATTGTTCTGTTCAGCTTTAAGAATATCAGG